GCGTGTCTAACACGTTCCTAGCATTTCAAGGTAGATTCAGGATTGTTTTTTCCCATAGAAAGACTGTCATACGCAGTACTATAGATATTTTAACGTAATATTTATACTAATTATTAACATAATTTTGTAATTCTCTACTATTATTAATATAATCCTATAATTCAAGTGTATTAAGGGCCAAATAAGTCGTTAGTAGGCTGTCTGTGAACTTCAGACACTCAGTATACAGTTTCTGAGAAAATAATTCTCAAATTTCAAACCATTTTATAAGTTTTCATATACAATCAATCCCATTCTAAGTGTTAGGACAGTCAATTCACAAAGGTTCAAAATTATAAGCTGAAAGTGATAAACTAAAACTGTAAGATTCTTAGTTTCATAAAAAGTTCCACCTCAGAGATCATTTTTAAAATTACGTATTCCAGCATTCAACACAGGATTTAATTCACAGACATCTCTCCATTAATATTTCACTGGGATACTGAAGTAAATCAAAAAGAATCAAACACATTACCCATTTTGTTGAGGAAAAACAAAAAGGTTAACATACATTTTCACCAAGTGAGGTATGAGGTAAGAATACTGTTTATATCATTTCATAGCAGAAAGCTTCCCAACATATACCTCGTTCAGTATTTGGTGCCAATTCAAAAATGTACAGGTAAAAGAATTATATCTGAACAGGTAATAGAGTTCAGAGAACCTCCAAATTCATTTTTCTCTCTAGAGATAAAGCTGTGTTTCACCAAAATCTGTTCAATAATGGGCTGGGTAAGGTGGCTCACACCTATAATCCTAGCTCTCTACAGGCCCAGGTGGGTGGATTGCTTGAGCATGTCAGGAGTTTGAGATCAGCCTGAGCAAGAGCTGAGACCAGGTCTCCAAAAATAGCCAGGCATTGTGGCGGGCATCTGTAGTCCCAGCTACTCGGGAGGCTGAGGCAAGAGGATCACTTGAGCCCAAGAGTTTGAGGCTGCTATGAGCTATGACACCATGGCACTCTACCAAGGACAACAAAGTGAGACTCTGTCTCTAAAAAAAATAAAATGATAAAATAAAATCTGATTAGTACATCAGTTTTTTAAATTTTTCACTCAACATATTTAATTCTTCACTCGTTTGTTTTATTTATTCAACAAAGAAAACTGAGCCCCTACTATTTGTTAAACACTATGCTAATAACTTTGGCTTTATGAAAGCAAGCTGCAGGTCAGTGCTTGTCCTCAAAGAGCTAAGAAAAACTGTGAGTTAAGTGATCAAGTGATCACTTTACCCAAGTGATGGCGACAGATAAATTTTAGTTCCATCACTAATTCTCAAAAAAGGAAACCATACAACAGTAATTTTAAAGATATTTTAATAATCTTAGCCTCTACATGAAGTTTGCCAATAAAGTAACTAAAAGCACTGTTTTGGTCAAAGTTCTAACACTATAATTTTTGATAGTAGTTTTTCTTTGAAAATCAACTGAATTATGAAAATTCCTCCAGTAAGGAAATCAAAAGCTACTATCCATAGTGATAATGAAAATTCAAGCATTTGGAAAGGTTACCTTCAATTATTCCTAAAATAAATCTAAAAGTGTAATTAAATATGGTCCTATTCAATATTAATACCTTCTCTCTGAATATATTTACAAACCTGAAAAATAAAGAAAGCAGTTTCCTTTGCAGCTATGTGCTTTGGATTGTGTCATCCACAAACTTTTAATAAAAAAAACGCCTTAACAGTAGATGAGCTAATGGGGGGAGGTGGGGGAAATGAGCAAGTGGGGAGAGGGAAGGAGAGAGAGGGATGGGGAGACACGGTGTAGGGCACACCTCTTAGGGGCAGGACACAATCACAATAGGGACTTTATCTAACAAATGCAATCAGTGTAACCTAATTCTTTGTACCCTCAATGAATCCCAAACAATAAAATAAATAAATAAATAAATTGTATTAAAAAATGATAAAGGTCTTAATATTTTCTAAATAAATTATTTTTTACAAACTCAATTCAATATTCTACTTGCTTTATTGCTAAGTCACATACTTCTTCATCAGTACTAACTACTTATACCTATATGTTTAAGTGTATGTGTTGTTAACTATACTATCTGACTCTTATATCTGCAATTAGTAAAAATCCTTCATAGATGAGAAATATTCTTCAACTTAGAAACATACTTCCCCAAAGCAAAAATTGATGTAAATTAGCTGTTGTTACACGCCAAGGAAAATCCTAATCACATTTTTCATTGAATTTTACACTGAAATATTTTCATTACTTATCAGCAAACATATATAAATTTTCTTCAAATGCTTTATGAAAACTTCTTAACTGAATTTAGCATACTACCCACTGAGGTAAATGAGTATTATCTACACTTACATACAAGGAAACCAAGGCATAAAGGTATCCATTTTGTAAATTGCAAGGTCATTTCCTTACCAAGTAACTGATTCTACACCATCAACTTATATGTGCACCACTTCCAAGTGCCATAAAATCATTACTGTACCTTAAAACTGCCTCTGCAATGCCTATGTGCAATCATTTCATCAAAAGAGTTAACGCAACAAGCTTAAACAAGAAAAGGTGGAAAGAGAGGATTACAAAAACAAACTCATTTTTAGTAACATATCATTTATTTTTTAAATAATGAAATGCAAGTAGCTCTTAACATGAAAATCAAGTAAACAATTGTTTCTTATATTTAAAGAAAATTTTCATCCTTCAGGTATATCATGCAAACCGGAGCCTACCCATCCTTGAAGAAAGAAGTTAGGAAAATTTGAAAAAAATTCTATAGCAAGCAACTAAGATATTGCAAAGAAAAAAAATTCAAATAAGGTAGGGAATGATTGATATTAATTCTTTCCTTTATTATTAAATCCTTTCATTCAACTAAAGGCTATTACTAGTAATCAAACATTCTGCTACAGAACAATGAATACAAACTTTTCTTATTCAAAGCTCGAGAAATTTTATATAATACTTTATTCAAATATTCAAAATAATAAAAATACTTTTCCTAACAAAAACTTGGAGCATTAGCACAAACTATTTCTGAGAGTTCAAACAGAGACTTCACTTATAATTATGATATAGTGCTAACAACAATTAGGAAAAATGAAAGTTGCCTACCGTACAAATTAAATTTAAGAACATTAGCCAGGGTGAATAACCAATAAATCATTTGCTTAACAGAAATAAGACAAAGCTAATACGTGACTCTAACACCAAAGAAAAAAATTAAAATAGACCCCAAGGCACATATGGAAACGAATGTGATCAGATTGAGTCCTAACTAAGTACCTAGTCTAGCTGGAGATAAATTAATCGGTTATAGGACAGGTCGTGAATGTTAGGTCGGATATGCTTTCTTTTCATCATTATTCCAGCTCATCATCCGCAAGTGCAAGAGAAGGTGTCAGAGTACAGAAGCTAGGGGGCATGCTATAGCAAGGGGAAAAGAAAAATGGGAAAGGTGCAATGGATGCTGCATAGTTGAATAATTATCTGGGTGGCACAATGGGCGAGTCCTGCAGACATCAGAGCTGAGTAAGCGGCTCCCTAACTCTGCCCAAGACACCCCCCACTAACAAGGCATTAGAAGCGACGGCACTGCTTCGCCTCCTATGTAAACGAATAAAAGGATGCCTGCACTCGTTTTACCGTTATGCCTTTAGATGCAAACGCACAGGCTTGCTTTACAGAGCCTCCGACACGTAGAGCGAGCAGAGGCTTCTCCGCCACCCGGGGCTGCAGCCTCCCCCAGAACAAGGAGGCACGCGGGCGGACCGTGAGTGCGGGTGAGCGGAGGAGCCCCGCGATGGCACTTTAGGTGAGACCTGCAGTCTCTCCGACCAGGGCAGCCTCAGGGTGGTCCCTGCAGCTCCGGACCCAGGCGTGCCCCAGCGTTCTCCCTCGGCATCCAGCCCGGCTAGCGGGTGGGCGGCGGGAGCTCGGAAACCCGCGGTTGGGGGTGGGGGCCGTCGCGGGGGAGGCGCGCCCATCCATCCCCGTAACCTTTTGCCGGCTAGAGCCACACACACCTCTCTTGGCTGCCGCTAGCGAGGAAGAGTTCCTTTCTCGGTACCCCCATCCCCGAAAAAATTAATCCCCGAGAGAATCGCGCTCACCGTGAAATCTTAAGGGGCTCTTGCCTTACCCCTTCTTCATGCTTCGGCGGCGATCGCCGGTCCCCCTCAGCTCCCGGGACTCCACCTAGAACCCCCAGTAGCCTCAGGCTCTGGGGCGGGACCCGCTCGGGGCACCGGCTGAGGCGCCAGGCTACTGGGAACGCCGCCCGGGGCGCCCACCGGACGCCGAACTCACCGTGTGCTCGACGCGCGAGGGAACAACACCGCGAACCGCTGCTGCCCCCCACTCGCCCCCTCCCCGCGCGCGACGCTCCACAACCGGGCGCAGGGACCCGGGCCAGAAGCAGGGGGGACCGCGGGATTCTCTCCACTTAATTTCCTATCCTCCCCGCCAGGGGCTATTCTTGGCCAGTCATATGTCTTAGAACTTAAGAGTCCCACTTTACTTTTCAGCCCCCCGTGGTCAGGTGTAACCGTGGTGAGAAATCCAGCCTCCGCCCACTCACCCATCAGTGGGAGTAAAGACTTCTCTTCCCCCCGTTTCCTGAGGCTCTGTGGTATTACCCAATCCTCAGTTTGGGGGAGGGGGACGGAGAGAACGGTGCTTGGCTAGGGAATGAGGGAAGATGATAGCCAATTGAATGAACTCTCCGTTCAGAGGCGGGGTCAAGCAGGGGCCTGCCCCCCGCCCCGCCCCCTCGCGCCAAACTACACTTCCCATTGTGCCCTCTCTCACTTCCCGTCGCGCTGCACGCTGGGAGCGTGGTATCTGGAGGCCTAAAGGTACTTCGGAAATCGTATTTAACCAACTAGGTCCTGAAAGTTATGAGCTCTTAAAACTCTCCCTCTTCCTTATATAAAAGTTTCCAAATTCTAATTTCGATGTCTTTGTTCTAATAATAATTCTTTTATTGTTTTAAAATGTTATAAATGATTTCTTAGCAAAGGAGGTTAATATCGTGTTTCACGGCAATCTGTCAGGACCCAGGAATCGCTTCCTCTTCCGCCCTGGCCTGGTCTCCGCAGAGGATTTGTTGCCATCATGTCGGCTGCGATTGCAGCTCTGGCGGCTTCCTATGGTTCGGGTTCAGGGTCTGAGTCGGACTCGGACAGTGAGGGCAGTCGATGTCCTCTGCCAGCCGCCGACTCCCTCATGCACTTGACTAAATCGCCTTCAGCCAAGTCCTCTCTGAAAGTGGCGGTGGACTCGGCTCCGGAGGTGGCAGTTAAGGTAAGTGCTTTGGCAACTGATACGGTGCTGGGATTGTTGGCTTGAGCTTCACAACCGCTGGTCGCTTGTTAGGTCCCAGGTTACCTCTTTTTCGTTGTGAAGAGATAAATTGCTAACGCTTGGATTTCGTCTGCTTCCTACTTGCATCTTCCTCTAGCAGTCGAAAGTTAGGGATAGCCTTCCACTGCCTCCGCCCATCAGAAAACAAGTGAGAATAGGGAGAGAAAGTTAAGTTCATGGGTTGGGACGTGCCCTAGATAGAGCAGGTGTAATCTTAAAACAAATAACACTAGATGAGGATTTACCAAGCCAAATTACGTGCCTTCACTTCAAGTGAGCCAGACTTTGCTTTGTTTTTGAAGGAAAAACTAGGTTCTATTCTGTACATCACCACTTATGTGAAATTGGGCAAATTATTTAAACTCCTCTGCTTCCTCAACTATACTGTGAAGATAATTTTAAAGGCACCTATCTACACGAGAGGATTAGGGTGAAGATTAAGTGAAGTTATACAAATAAAACTTCTAGCATAGAGGCTGATAACTAGTGAGAATGCAATAAGTGTTTCGTGATTGTGTATGTCAGTATAGTGAGGGAAGGCCCTTGGATTTAAGAAACAGCATGCATGATTGCAATGGAGAAAGGTGACCAAGGGAGAAATTGGGAAATATAGTTCATTTAAATATTTATTGAGCGTATGTTATTTATCAGGAACTGTTCTAAGGGCTTATGATACAGAGTCAGCAAGCCAGAAATCTTTGCCATTATGATGCATACATTCTAGTGGAAGAGGCAGCCAATTAAAAGTAACAAGACAAAGTAGTCACAGATTAGATTGAGTACTGTGAAGAAAAAGATAGTGTCCAATAGGGAATAAGGAGAAAATATGATTTCAAAGGTTGATCAGGGATGTTCTCTCTGAAAAGGTGGGTTTTAGCAAGAAACCACCCCTGTGCAATTTAAGGCAAGAGTTTCTGGGTAAAAATGATAGATGGGTAATCCTGAGAAGGCAAAGAGCTTAGTGTGTTTGAGGAACTGAGGAAAGGCAGCTGTGTTTAGAGTTGGTGAGAGCATACACTTGTTGGTAGTGTAGGCCCATTAGAGCCTGATGTGTAGGTGATGAGAAGCTCAGTGTGAAGAGGGGAGGCAGTGTACAGAAATTCCTTTGCAAGATATTCCCAATTCTAGTTTTATGACTTAAGAAGGGTTGTACAGTTTTTCAGTGAACTGTTTAGGAATTTTACTTATGGACATCTGGCTTGAAAGAATGCTTAGAATCCTTCTAACTTTACAACAAAACTTTCTAAACTTACACCTCTCTAGCAATCTCTGTAGTCTTAATTCCTTTTACAGCTCAACTTTTGATCTCTCTTCACTTCTCTCATTTTCTCCTCAACCTAATGCAGTCCCACCCTAGCCTCTTGTGAAACTGCTCTCCATGAGCAATGGCCCTGGCATTCCAGTTGTCAGATTCTGCCATCTGACTTGCTTATCTGCATCACATACCTCTGTTAATTCCTTTTTCTTGAAGCTTTTTCTCCTTTTGGTTTCTTTGGGGCTATCCTCAGCCTTCTGGTCCCCTGTTCTTCTGCCCTCTCTTTCATTATTGGCACTTCCCAGGACTCTGCCCATAGTCCTCTTTGCATTCCACATATTCTTCATCCCTTCAACTTCAAGTCCATCTGATAGCTCACAGGTAAACACTATGATGTGGTTAGCACAGGCTCTGGAGTTACGACTTCACTATTTAAATCCTGCCTCCAGTGCTTACCCACTTGGTGACCTTGGATAAGTTACTTTAAATGCTCTGTGCCTAATTTACTCTCTTCTGTAAAGTAAGAGTAGCATTAGTAGCCCTCTCATGGAATTACAAGAATTGTCATTCAGCATGTAAAACACTGTTACAGTATCATGCACACAGTTAACACTTGTTAAATGTTAGCTGTCCTTATTGTTTCCAGTTCTAACCTCCCTAGTAGCTTAAAACCTAACAAATACCTCTCCTAGGATGGCTCTCAGGCATCTCCAGTTAATTGTGCTGAAAATTAACAGTTTCTCTCTTATCAACTTCTGTTTTTCCCATTTTGATTTATAACCCCACAAACCACCCATTAGTCTTAAGCCAAGGACAAAGGGGTCATCCTTTTCTCTTCCTTCTTCCTCATTCCCTGAAGCCAATCATTCAAGTGGTTCTAACATTTCTGCTTCATGAACTTCCCTCAGATCAGCTCCTTCCTATTTTCTCTGGTACAGCCTTCATATCTTCCTTATTTCTTTCAGGAGTTATTCTGGACTTCTCTTTCTCTTTTACCCAGTACTTTTGGGTAGTGGATTCTGTCCATTTTAACTCAATGATATTTATCAAATCTCTCTCCTTTCTGTTGCCAATGTTTAGTTCAGATTCTCGTCATTTCTTTTAAGATAGCTATAGCCTTCCAACTGGTCTTTCTTCCTTCTTTCTTGTCCCCAGTTCCATTATTCCTTTCTTCCCTCAAGAGTGTACCTAGAATGATCTTTCTACTTTCATGTTACCACTTCCCTGCCCAAGGACACCACGTTGCCTACTGGATAATTTCTAAGTTCCTTATATAGCATGCAAAGCCTGCCCTTCTCCCATGCTGAACTCTTGACAAAGCCCCGAATGCCTGATTTTCTTTTTTCCTCTCAAGATTTTGGTGATGCTAGTACCTTTGCCTGCAAATCCCTTGCCTGGGGTGCCTCCTTCCCCCACCCCAAACTCTGTTGTCCTTCAGTCTCAGTGTACATGTTTCCTTCTCTGTCTGCCTCAGCCCCTTTATCATATTTTAACTATAGCACTTGCCACGTTGAGAGACCTTGGGACCCAGAAATTGTTCTGTCTATTCATTCATGTTTCCAGCGTCTAGTATGTAAGAATAAGGGAAATAATAAAAGAATGGAACGAAAGAAAAGAAAATCTTGTAAAAGCATATACACTGAGAATCAGAATTTTAGAACTGAGCAGGCAGTAAGGTTATGGGGGGGAGGGGGTTAGAGCTCACTTCATTCCTCTATCAGTTATAAGTAAGAAAATTCAGGAGGAAATGTTACATAAGGCTGCCGTCCCTAACCGCAGGCTGTAGACCACCTGCCCTCATAGCAGGTGAGCTGCAGGCAAGCAAGGAAGCTTTCCTGCAGATCCCACCACCACCGCCATCCATGGAAAACTTGGCCCTACCTCTCACATCACCACCTAAGCTCCCCCTCCTGTCAGATTCCCTGTAACCCCCCGTGGTCTGTGGAAAAATTATCTGTGAAACCAGTCCTTGGTGCCAGAAAGGTTGGGAACCACTGACATGAGGTACCAGAGGTCCATTAGCAGGAGAACTACAAATAGCTCACCAAGAGGTCTGGGTTCTATGATGAGAGAGTAAATGGTATTGCTGGTTTGTAAATCAGTACTTGCTTATATGAAGAACAAAGAAAGTTTATACATAGTAAATGTAATGATTACAAATGATTGGAAAATTGGAAAATGACTAAGGGAAGAAATGTGAAGCATGCAAATGTTCATCTGTTTGACTGATCTTACTGTGATTAGTAGGATGTGTTTTTGTAGAGAATAAATTTATGCAGTATTGTTAATCCATTTTTTCCTGAGCATTAATCAGGTCGTGTGTCTTTTCATATATGTTATTGGTAATTTGATTTTTCTTCATAGCAACTGTTGGTTGTCTTTTGCTTTTGCTTTGTAGGAGATCTTTATGTGTTCTGGATTTTTGTCAATTGTGTATAGTGCAGAAAAGTTTCTAGTTTGTGGCTTGTCTTCTCATTTTTTTGCCCTGTCTCTTATAAGCAGAACTATTTATTTAGTATAGGCTTATCAATTATTCCTTTATGGAATGGTTCCTGTTTCTTGTTTGAGAAATACTTAAGTCAAACTCATGAAAATATTCTTCTATATTATTTTTTGAAAGCACTACACTGTGTTTTTCATACTTGTTGTTAATCTACATGACATTAATTTTGATCTATGGTATGAATATTCTTAGTAATATGCTTAATAGCCGGTAGGGCAGTTCACCCTTCTCTTTTTTTTTTGGTTGTTCAAGAATGTTCTAGCTATTTATGGCCACTATAATTCTAAATACATGGTTTAGAATTAATTTATAAAGTTTTGCTGACACCCAGGTGGGATTTTGTTTGGGATTGAATTGAGTCACAGATCAATTTGGAGACAAATGTTCTATCTGTTCCTTTGTTTAGGCTCTCTTTAGGTTTTTTGTTTTTTCTAAAGTTTGTAATTTTTTCCATCAAGATCTTGTGTAGTTTTGTTGGAGGTATCTTTAGGTGTATTTTATTTTTACGCTATTATATTCATTAATAGCATTATTTTTTCCATTTAACTTTTTTTTCTTTTTTTGAGACAGAGCCTCAAGCTGTCGCCCTGGGTAGAGTGCCGTGGTGTCACAGCTCACAGCAACCTCCAACTCCTTGGCTTAAGCAATTCTCTTGCCTCAGCCTCTCAAGTAGCTGGGACTACCATTGCCTGCTGCAAAGCCCGGCTATTTTTTGGTTGTAGTTGTCATGGTTGTTTTGGCAGGCCCGCCACCTCTGATGTATGTGGCTGGTGCCTTAGCCACTTGAGTTACAGGTGTCGAGCCTCCATTTAACTTTCTAACTAATCTTAACTACTTACATAGTCATATCAGCTGCAAATATGACAGTCTTCTTTCTTTCAATCTTTATTCCTTTTAATTTTTTTCTCTTGCCTAGCTGTGCTTGCTAAGACCTCCAGAAAGATCAGGCAAATTGTAACCAAAAGAAAGCTCGTTGGAATAAGATCAGTAAAATAGACTTTAAAGCAGAAAGCTTTTTCACTAGAGACCAAAAAAGAGTCTATAACAAAATAAAAGAGGTATATAACAATGTAAGCTCAAAATACTTAAGCAAAAATGAACTACAAGGAGAAATTTACATATATATAGTTACTGGGAGGTTTTAATATACCTCTCTCAGTAAGAGAGAGAATAAGCAAAAAA